TCCTTTTACACTCCTGATAGATGTACGAGCGAGAGTCTCATCATACACAAGAACTTCGTATATTCTATAACTTTTGATAATAAATTTTCACACACACATATACACTACATACATACATACATAATGTGTATATAATATATATATATATATATATATATATATATATATATATATATATATATATATATATATATATATTTATATGTCGTGCCGAATATGTAAAACTGGTCAATTAGCAAGAACTCATTTAAAATTAAGTCCTTTCTAAAATTTTCTCTTATACGTTTAAAGATATATTTTTTTTCATTAATGTTAATGTAAAAATTTTTAATTTTACTCCAAAAGAATCTTAGAAAACTTACCTAACCTTATTATAATAAGAACAATTTATTTTAGCCTAACCCAACTATATATATTTTAGATTTGTTTACAATAATTTAATACAAAACAAACACAGTAAAATATATTTTTTTCCCGTTAGGTCAGAATGATTTTGGCGAAATTATTGCATACACAAATTTTCCACTTGCCCTATATGGCAAGATGAGCGTTGCTATTTAAGGGCAAGATGGCAAGTTCTCCTATTCGGCACGACATATATATATATAAAATATATATATAAAATATATATATATATATATATATATATATATATATTTATATGTCGTGCCGAATAGGCAGAACTTGCGATCTTGGTTTAAATAGCAACGTCATCTTGCCATATAGACAAGTAAAAATTTTTGTGTACGCAAAAATTTCGCCAAAATCATTCTTAACCTAACGAAAAAAAATATTTCACTGGTTTGTTTAGTATTAAATTATTGAAAAACAAATCTAAAATATATTTAGTTGGGTTTTAGGCTAAAATAAATTGTTCTTGTTAAAATAAGGTTAGGTAAGTTTTCTAAGATTCTTTTGGTGCAAAATTAAAAATTTTTACGTTATCATTAATGATAAATATATATCTTTAAACGTATAAGAGAAAAATTTAGAAAGGACTTAATTTTAATGATTTTCTTGCTAATTGACAAGTTTTACATATTCGGCACGATATATATATATATATATATATATATATATATTAATAATATATATAAGTAGTCATTTTTTCCTCTGGGGGGCTCCTTCCGGTTTAGGGCCTTCCTCTGGGAGGCTCCTTCCGGTTTAGGCCTTCCACTGGGCGGTGTATCCGGTCTAGGACCAGCAGCTGGAGGGTCACCTTTTCACACCTAGGTGTTATTTTTCCGGGTTTTGACCATGACCTCGCCCTCGAGACTACCTCACCCTTGACCCCCCCAACCAATACCCCCACCCACCACGACCCCCCGCCTCGCGACCCCACCATCGCGCCGCGCGCCCGCGCGCCCGCCCGGCGCGCCCGCCCGCGCGCCCGCCCCCCCGCCCCGCGCGCCCTTTTCGCGCGCCCCGCCCCCCCGCGCGCCCGCCCGCGCCCGCGCCTTCTGCAGCGTCGTCCGGATCGCCCCCGCGCCTCGAATTTTTTCTTATGATCTCCTTGGATCAAGTTTTTTGGATCCCCCCTATGGGGTTTTCGAAATTCTCCATCTCCTCGGATCAAGTTTTTTTGGATCCCCCCCCCCCCCCCTAGGGGGTTTTTTCGAAATTCTCCATCTCCTCGGATCCCTCTCCCACTTTCACCCCCCAACCCCAAAAATTTCTCGATAATACAAGTTTTTGGATTCCCCCCCTATGGGGTTTTCGAAATTCTCCATCTCCTCGGATCAAGGTTTTTTGGATTCCCCCCTCTGGGGGTAAAGCATTCAAAATAGACTCCTCCTATGGGGGCATGCTTACTACAGGTCTAAAAGTTTCCTCTCATTAAGTCAAATGAACTAAAAGTTTCCCCTTATTATTTTAAAATGAACTAAAAGTTTCCGCTCATTAAGTCAAATGAACTAAAAGTTTCCTCTCATTAAGTTAAATGAACTAAAAAAAGCGTTTACTCGGCGGTCAGTGACGTCACGTGTTGACCCAGCACACAGGTTGAATCAGGTCGCTCCTATGTCAGTGACGTCACGCGCACAGGCTGAATCATGTCGACCCTATGTCAGTGACGTCAGTATTCCTCTCATTAAGTTAAATGAACTAAAAAGGACCCAGAACACAGGCTGAATCATGTCGAACTTTACCCCTACATATATACATCATAGGGAAAACATTTTCATCATCAGAAAGACACATTTCAGGATAACACTAATACACAATATTTTTTTTTTCATTATTTATTATACAAGCAATACATCACTCTATTCTCCTACGTTTAGATGGTGGAATATCAGGGTGTCCATAAGCCAAGGATTCATTAGTATTCAAATGATATCTTTTATCATCAAAGGCTGACAAACCTCTCTTATTAATTTTTACCGTACATATTTCACCTTTTACATTACCTATAGACTTACACGTGAATAATTCTCTATCTACATTTGATAAAACATTCTTATATCTTGCATGTGTTAATAATGGCATAAATTGTAAGGAATACCCTTGGCTCTGCTGACATTAGTTGATCTTCCAGCAATCTTGACAGAAAAACATTTTAGCTTTCAGGGCTATCAACTCGCTAATATGGTATCACACATTTCAGATTTCAATAACCCCAGCTCACCTTTTCTACTATCATCATATAAGGGATGCTCAGGGCTGAAATTTGAAAAATCCATAAAACCTAACAATGGTTCATTTTTTAAACTCGGTGTAAAAAATCTTTACATTTCAAGCAAAAAATATATGAGTCAGTATGGGTATAAAGAAGTCTTACATCATCACCATAATGCTTTTTTAAAACTTTTATACCAAAAATGATCAATTTCTTTTTAGCTATCTCAAGAATTTGAAAGCCCAGATAAAGTGGTTGCTTAACTTCTAAAAATATCTTTATTGAATGTGCAAATCACTCTATCTTGATTTAAATTTGTGTTATTTTTTAAAAAAAGGATTTTTTACTCGCTCTAATAAATGCTTTCTCATTATTGATAATCTATATTTTCAGCAACTTTGTAATATTAAACAATGATTTCCCATATATGGCGTTATTAGTTAATTTGAAGGCTTTTGATTGATAGGACATCTTGTAGCTGTTCTCTGTGCAATATTAGTTGATATGAAAGGTTCTAAAAATTTTGTCTGTGTATATTCATATATGGTATGAACCTTTTCCCCACCTCTAACCCAAGTTCCAGTAATAACTGTAACAATTCAAAGACTGATCAAATAATTTTTCTGAGGTAAATGACTGCCCACTAATTTCCCATTAGATTTGGGGGATCTTTTCTACCTTCTTTTTTTCAATATAGATTCACAATAAGGAGATAACATCTCTGCTGATATATTCATATGTGATAATATTAAAGGAAGTTCACAGTGAGTCTAGCTACCTCGGGGGATATGTGCTTGGTATCACATTCTATCCAATACCCCTTTTTGTCCTTCACAGGAAACATTACTTAATCCCACATCGAGGAAAGCATTCTTCTGTCATTCGATAATTTTCTGATACCATTCTGTGGAAGAGCTTCAACCATCGCACTAGAAATACAAAGAATTGAAATCTAGATATAAATATGAGTGCCCATTCCACTCTCAACATCAAAATTAGGGTTAATTAGGGGATTATCTGTTTTAGAATACTGATTAATTGCGCAGGTAAACCCACCTCTGAGATTCCTTTTAATCAAGCATATAATTCAGGGGAATATATCATATCTAATCTTACATTAGTTTTCAATAGGAATGCATCCCAACTGAATGAGGGTAAACTTATATAATTACTAACGTCAAACCCTTATAAATATCCTTGAGTGTTTTACGCCACTCCATGAAGACTCGGCTAAAAAACCCAACATCTGTCTTGAGATATAACATCAAGTAATCTCCTAAAGTCTTACATTTACCCAACTCAAACACTTTCAATGCATGTTCATAATCTTCTTGGCTGATGCGCTATTTCTCAAAGAATTAAAAAAAAATGATCTTTACTCGGTAATTTTGTTTCATCGAGTTTCTTAAACTATCAATATAATCAAACACAAATTTGTTTTCCTTTACATATAAAAAGGTAAGACATCTCGAGGCACATCTTTCAGATTACTCTCTGTATTTTTTCAGGATTTACCTGCCTTGATATGTTGTTCTGCTAACGTGGAAAGGATCCATTCAATAAAGACAGTGAATCCTGAAACCTAACCTTACCTATTCTCTATTTTCAAGAATTTGAATCCTTGTTTCGAATGAATTTCAACGTTATATTTATCAACATTCAATTCCTTTAAAATTTTCCTAAATCATACGACATGTTATGACAAAAAAGCAATAATTTCTCTCTTGTCTTTACACTGCATATTACATCGTGCACAATAGGCTCAATATAATTATTGAAATTTAAAGTATGGGTCGTGGTGTTTATGTTTGTCCTTGGGTTTTTTGAAGGTGTTACCACATAATTCACAAGTGTTCTGAGAATCATGCCTCATCTTATCCTCTCTGACATATGGTTTTCATGATACTGTCTTAAATTTTATTTATTCCATTCACCACTAACATTTAAAATGAAATGTTTAAACAGCATCCTCCCCTTATAACTCTTTATACACACTATTTCTCCTTTGCGATCAATATAATATAACAATAGGCAATGGTTTTTATGACGAGACTAAATTTTTCCCTGCTGGGAGGTGGTGTCAATGCACATTCGAAATCAAATACACCGATATATTCGTGGAATGCGTATGACTAAAATTTTCCCAAAGTGAACTGTTTTTCCCTTTCCCGGGGAGGAATACGAGAACCTGATTGATTTACATCCATCTTCGTGATATCTAACTCTTCCTGTGTATTCAACTTCATCAAACAACTATGACAGTGCTTCTTTACACTTTTTTCTGACATTATCGGTTCTAACATACCCGTCAAAATCTTTGTTTAAAAAACCAAATGTTTTTTCATTCAACAATAACGCGCACATAATGTCCTTATTTTTTCTTATTCCCCTTACGACACATAGCCATAAATGTCCTATCTTGATCCTTTCTTAATTGATAAACATATAATGACACTTTATTTTCCTTCTCTAATATACCTAATTTATCACGCGTAATGGGGAAATCATCTATAGAAGTTTTTGCGTGATTAAGACAACCTCTCTTAGTAGTAACTGCTCTGCGAATATGAACCCATGACATATTCTTTTTATAACATTGATAGGCAGCAAAAGCACGCAGTACACATAACCCATCATTAATCTCTGGATTAAATACATATTTCTTCCCTCTCAGTTTCTCGGGATATGCCACATATGACCCCACTCCCACTCTGAATTCTACTTTAACATATTCGATACTGAAAGATTCGATTTAAATCTTATGACCAGCCAGATCCTTCCTGATCTTGCAGCTCTGACTCGTATCTTTCTAATATTGTTCCCACCCATCGATCAAATACTTCAGAGATTTCCTCTTCACTTACTAACTCAAACGCTAAATTTATCACAAATTGTCCATTTTGATCATCACCGGATATGTTTTGACGTAATGTCCTTATAACTATAATTGGGTGGATTCTGAGCGACATTGCTAGAGGCGATCTATCATTACTATCTCGCATCTGTTCTATAAAATAATCCCTATAAACATGTAAATACATTCTTAACTCTCTGTTATAAGTTGAAGGAACACTATATTTCCTCACTGTATGTCTACCTCTAAAATTCTGGATATATGTAATAACTTCTGGGCTCTCATCTTCGCTATTATGCGTGTCAGACACGTCATGCGAGGTAGTTGCTCTCTCATCATCATTAATGGGGGCAGAAGTACCCGCACCTCCGCATTGTGAGGTACCAACACTAGCACTCTCACCACCAAGCTGGGCAGTTTGATTCACAACACTACCAGGTGTATTTCCTGCAGAGGAAAAAAGTATATCCAATTCATAACCCAAAAAAAATTAAGATTTCAATGAACAGAGGAAAAAAAAAAAAAGCACATCCAATTCATAACCCAAAAAATGTTAAGATTTCAATGAATAGTAATATTACGTCCAGTAATGGGGGTAAGAAGGTCACCCTTCATAATTTTTTACATAATACGTTTTAAGATTTCAATGAACAGAGGAAAAACAAGCACATCCAATTCATACCCCAAAAAATATTAAGATTTCAATGAATAGAACAAATAATCTTTTCTCGAGTGACTAGCACAACAAAAGATCACAAATTGGTTACATACCTGTTTCTATAGCCTTCTTCCATAAAGCATCTACACGTGCCCACTCATTATCCAATTGCAATAACCTTTTCATTGCGTTGTACACCGCCTTTCTCGATTACCAACGAACGCTGCTTTCTAATCGATAATCTTCTCTTCACCAATGCTTCCAAGTATTTCGAATATATGCTATCCCCTGTTAAGAATTTCACTTATTAACGCACTAACCCAGTAAACATTTCACTCGTATGCTTCAACAAAAATTAAACATGTAAAAAATACAAGAATTTTCTAACAATCTCCTCTTCACCAATTCACTTATTTAACCCATTTAAAAATTTCACTTATTAACGCACTAACCCAAATTTCACTCGTATGCTTCAACAAAAATTAACCCAAATTTCACTCATATGCTCCAACAAAAATTAAACATGTAAAAAAAACAAGAATTTTCTAACAATCTCCTCTTCACCAATTCACTTATTTAACCCATTAAAAATTTCACTTATTAACGCACTAACCCAAATTTCACTCGTATGCTTCAACAAAAATTAAACATGCAAAAACAAGAATTTTCTAAGTATAACTTACCTTTCTCCATGTTGTGCGGTTCAGCGTTGGAAGATGAGGTCCTTTAACTTAAATGAGAGGAATACTGTGGGGGGGAAGATGAGGTCAGTCACGGATGATGGATGGAAGCACTGTCCTCGCTCTGAGTGTCTCATTGAGCTTATATAGGCCGCCCCCTCCTCCCGACACCACGGTATAATGCGGTTCACACCTAAGGTAGATTTAAGATAATCATGAACACCTGGGTCAACACAGGTCAGACAGGCGCCATGTAATGCGGTTCACACCCAAGATAGATTTAAGATAATCATCCCCTTACCGAACACCTGCGTCAACTCAGGACAGACAGGCGCCATGAAATGCGGGTAACATTCAAGGTAGAAAATCATCTCTTTCCAGACCAAATCTATCCTCTTGTTCTAAAATTTGGTGAGGTCATTGCTTTTTTAGTTCATTTTAAAATAATAAGGGGAAGATTGAGATATAACATTTGTATTCTACCTCAATACATTTTTTTTTCATGGTAAGGTTTGATTTAAAACTTCATCATGTCTTAAAAATTTTTATTAAACATTTCTCTTTTTAATGAATGAAACATATTAATCTGGTGTAACAACACGATCTAAACATATAAATCCTCCTCTCTAAGTCTTGTTCTTCCAAGTCCCGTCACATCGGTACCTGTAAATTTTAATATAATTCATTAGCATATAATGTGGAGAAATTTGCACCATCACCTGTAAAAGATATAACCAACTAAAAGTTACTTATTTTTTCACTATCCCAAGCATATTCTTCTCGTTAACTTAAATATCTCCCCATTCATGACTTAAAAAAGCATGATCATGATGTAAGTATTATGGTAGACATGATTCTCGGTGTTCAGGTAGAGAAAGTCGAAAAAGGTAAGTGTTACATTTTCATGAAGAGATAAATATGAGTTATTAATTCAAATATATCTCTCTTCAAGTTATAATTACTTCCTCATAATAATTTTAAATGAATTAATCCTTCCTCATATTATTTAAAATGAATTAAAGCACTGATACAAGGTAAATAATTTTGCTTACCTTTATAAGTTACTCACACATTAGGCTCAATGTTTTTAATATATTGTTTAATATCTGTGAAAAGTTCTCTCCAAATTAATTTCCCCCTTCTTTGTGTTGTACCATCTATGCAAAATACACAGATTAATACTGTCGATTAAATATTTGACTGACAAAGTTTTTAGGTATATTGTTTTTTCCCAAAAATTTAATATACCAGATCATCACTCCACTCCGTTGCCATTTCATCAATGAATTTATGTGAATCAAGTTCATTTTCAACCAATTTTTAACTCGCTGAAAATTCTTTTTACTCAATGTTTCCCATCTTTCCTTAAGAGTTGATTGCAGTGTTGCAAAATTCCAACCAAGGAAGATCTTTCAACCATTTCACAAATAACAATGAAATCGGCAAGTTTCCCCATATTAGATGCTTTCTATCGGGTTCGGACAATGTCTGGGGTGACTTACACACAACACTCTCCCATACACATAAAGAGTTGCTAAATAGTATTAAATGGAAAAATTTCATTAACTTACCTAAACTAGGATCAGCCATTTAAAATCCATTTTCTTAATTAATTTTTTGGGCTTTGGTATAATAAAAGTTGGAGATAAATGCTACTCCATTCACATTCTCTAACAATAAATTTTCCAATATTTCTTCGCTCCATCGTGAGTCATTTTCTCGACCTCAGCTACAATTTTCTTCTTTGAGAGAACAGGTTCCGCATCAAAATCTTTTTTGAATTGGGTTCGACTCTCTTAATTGTATTAACATTTCTATAAACACCCCAACTAGTATGTTTTGTCGCAACCACCTCCATATTTTTTTTTCTTCAAGTGATTCCTTACCATTTCACTCCAAATATTTATACCCAAAAATTTCAATCGTTGTCATCATCGATTATCTTTTTTTTTTAATACAAATATCATTACAGGGGGTTTCTTCAAAACATATATATTATCCATTTCAAATTTGTTCCCTTATTAACTTTAATGAACTAAAAGTGTTAACTTTTATTATTTTTCAGTAAAAAGATTTATTCAGACAATATTTTGGCAACACTTGCTTGTGACGTCACTATCCAGCAAAAGCGTTAAAAAGGTTAGAACATCTTCCCTTTATTATTTTTTAAAAAGAACTAAAAGCAATGACGTCACGATACTCATTGAACAAATTATCTTACCCAAACACTTTTAGTTCATTTAAGTTAACAAGGGGAAAGTTCTTGCATTTTCCAAGTATGCACCATCGGTATAGTAATAACATAATACCATTGGAAGTAAGTTATGATCCCCTTCCTGTATGACACTAAACTCGTGGTGATTCATTCACCTATCGTCATGGTGATGCCACGTAGTGTTTTTCATGGAACAAAATTTCTCTACACATATAGTTATAAAAAAACTACTAACATGTCAACCCTCACGGTGAAAAGAGTATAAGAAGACACGTCCATATTGAGTTACAAGAGTATTAGATGAAGACGTTTGGAAAGTTACATGTGAAAAATTTGTTACAGAAGCAAGTGTCTACACACCACTGAACTGATAAAGAAATGATTAATTCGATAGAAGACCTTGATCAGTCACCTTCCTTCGTTTTGGAGGGTTGTGATCAATATCTCACCGATAAAGAAATGCTTATAGCAATGGAAGATTTTGAACGTGAGTTTTTAATGAGATATTAATGAGTAAAATTCAACCAAATTGTAATTTTTAGAAATTCTAATGAGAAATATTTTTTCATTTGTTGTGTAACAAACTTAATTTTTGGGATATAATACTAATATTTTATCAAAATTGCAGGTAAAGAAGCAACAAAAGATGAAGAAAAATATCTTTTGGTAATGCAAGGGAATATTACAAAAGATTTAGTGGCAGTGAAAAAAATTCTTTTAGTACAACAAGCAAATTGTTGGCTGTTAAATTGAAAAAGGGAGGTCTTGCTGATGCTTTAAGTCAGGTTTTACCACTTAGCAATCCTTATTTATTTAGATCACCTGGATGTCATAAAGCAAATCTAGCTAGTGAAGTCACTCGTGATAAATTTGGAAGCATAAAATTTGTAAATAATGGAAAAAATAACCCCATGATTGTTAATATGTTTCGCACAGTATGCGATGGGGCCTCCACATAAGTAAATTATATGAACTGTAAAGTTGATAAGGCCTACTATAATACATGCAAATATTTAGATAAAAAAGAAAGGGCGTGAGATTAGTTCAAAGAGTGCTGAATGAACTTGTTAAGTGGGTTTTTAACAGATCCCCAAAGGGATTATAATGGAAAAAGTCGTGTTTCCAGAAGGAATTGGGTGTGCTCAGCCGGAGGTGAATGGCATGCATATCTTAAAATCATTCTTGATTTTGCAAAGGAATTAAAAAAACGTCGTAGAAATATTATCTCTTATTGTAAAATATGCCAAATAAATATTTTCTATAAAACTTTTTTGTTTTATTCACCAGCATTTTTAGTTCATTTAAGTTAAAAAAGGGGGAAAATTCTTGATTTTGCAAAGGGAAATTAAAAAAACGTCATAGAAATATTGTTATCATTATTGTAAAATATGTCAAATAAAATATCTCTATAATACTTTCTTATTCACCAGCAGTCTCAAAACCTTATTAGGCAACTGAATAGAGATCATACGTCTGGCGGAACGGTGCTGGGGTATAAAAATCTCTGTTCTCTGATGGTCGTGCTTAGTACCTCTTCCGCAGGGTGCGACTAACCAGATCAAGAAAAATGGAGACAGCCAATAGGATGGAAAAATATTTTAAAATTGAAGAAGGAAAATTGTACGATGAAAAATATTGTCGTGACAACGTCTGCATTGTTTTTCATGTGAATTGTGTTGCTATAAAAGGATAAAGGTGCAAGTTATTATTTGGGTAAGAAATATCCTTATGCTGATGTGTATCGGAAATAGAGAACCATTATTTATCTTAGAAGATGCAGAGTTGAAGATCGTGATACTCCTGGAAATGTTATCGAGTTTGAACCTTCACCGATCAAAGAAAATTGAATCTTCCTTATTTTTGCAGCCATAATAAGCCAATTTGGTATTGCTGACCCTTGGAGGAAAATACCATTTCTCAAAATTTAATTGAAAAATCAAGAGATGCTCATTTGGTGTATGGTTTAAAGAAAGATACTATTCGCAGACAGAATTTAAAATATTTCAAGGAATCCATTGAGGACTCATAAAAAGTGTGAAAGACAATAAAAAATAACGCGAGGTTATCTTTCTGAAAGGTTTGGGGGGTGTGAAACTTCAAATGATTATATCTGGAATACGCACTATAAACCTATACTCGAAGATATGATAATGAAATTTAAGGAAGAAGGTATTCGATCAACCATGGTTGTCAAAGAAGAAATGAAAAACATTAACCAAGGTCAAGAATTAGAAGATGATTCGAAGTTATTGTCTTCTAGAATTGAAGGAAGTGCTTGGTATCCCTCATGAGGTAAGCAAAATTATTTACCTTGTATCAGTGGATTAATTCATTTTAAATAATATGAGGAAGGATTAATTCATTTAAATTATTATGAGGAAGTAATTATAACTTGAAGAGAGATATATTTGAATTAATAACTCATATTTATCTCTTCATGAAAATGTAACACTTACCTTTTTCGACTTTCTCTACCTGAACACCGAGAATCATGTCTACCATAATACTTACATCATGATCATGCTTTTTTAAGTCATGAATGGGGAGATATTTAAGTTAACGAGAAGAATATGCTTGGGATAGTGAAAATTAAAGTAACTTTTAGTTGGTTAAATCTTTTTCAGGTGATGGTGCAAATTTTCCACATTATATGCTAATGAATTATATTAAATTTACAGGTACCGATGTGACGGACTTGGAAGAACAAGACTTAGAGAGGAGGATTTATGATGTTTAGATCGTGTTGTTACAACCCAAAATTTAAAATGTTTCATTCATTAAAAAGGAAATGTTTAATAAAAATTTTTTTTAAAACATGATGAAGTTTTAAATCAAACCTTACCATGAAAAAAAAATGTAATGAGGTAGAAAACAAATGTTATATTTTAATCTTCCCCTTATTATTTTAAAATGAACTAAAAAGCAATGACCTCACCAAATTTTAGAACAAGAGGATACATTTGGTCTGGAAAGAGATGATTTTCTACCATGGATGTTACCCGCATTTCATGGCGCCTGTCTGTCCTGAGTTGAAGCAGGTGTTATGTTCTACCTTGGGTGTGAAGCGCATTACACCATGTGTTGGGGTGACCCACAATGAGTCTCTCAGAGCGAGGACAGTGCTTCTATTCGGAAATCGAGTAAATATTTCTACCATTGAGTGTGTTTTACCAACAAGAAAATAATGTTCGATTTTACGATAAAGTTTTCAAAACTAATTTGGATATATCCAAAATGGAGTCGTTCAAAGTAATTCTGGAGTACTCAAATAGTGTTTT